GAACTAAGACAAATACTTTTAAATTTGAATATAAATCTCTATAATGGAGTACTATGGTGGTAATACACAAATGTGACAAATGGAGTTTGATATGTAACTAACTGTTTCCAACATGACAGCATTCCTTTGCAAACGGACACCTCCACTTGGTCCGATGCCACATGAAGACATCGACATTGAAAACCTGGAGTCGTTAGACAAGTATCGCAGCTACACTCGTTACCTAAAACAAGCTGAGGAGGCAAAGAACAAACCTGTCTGGTGGAAGACTTACAAGGCCCACGTGGAAAAAGCTGATCCTGATCACGGTGAGAAATCCAGGAGGCATCTGTTGACTGCGATTCCTCCGGGGTGTCTGTGACAATTCAAACCTTTTCATCTTCACAGTGTCAAGGAGTTTTGTTTGGTTGCAGGTGCAGAACTAGTGGACATTGGTTTTCCATTCTGTCGACCCAGCAGGATCAAAGAAGTGAGGGAGCGAAGGCAGGTGATCAAGGACAACAAAAAGAATGCTGAGCTGGAGAGATCTTCACGTCTGCGCACTTGTAAGCTCACATGCATGCTCACCAATTATGTTTTGAATTAGTAAGTAAATAAATTTGGTTAACTTTTCTCTATTCTGTTTACCCACCACAGTTAAGATCCCTCTGGATCGAGTGCAGGAAATCTGGGAAAAGAGGGGTGGTCCATTTCAGATACGGAGACTGGCAGAACACTACGGAGTCTTCAGAGATCTCTTCCCCATGGCCTATTTTCTACCTCAAGTGTCACTCAAAATCTCCTATGGCCAAGACAACAGCAGCCAAGTGCATTATGGGAATCGGCTGACACCAACGGAAGTATGTCAGAGGACTGAAACTTAAATAATGTTTGAATCAAGGACGTCTCAGGCTTCATCCATACTACGGCGATATCGAAGTAAACCAATCTCTGTCCACAAAAGTATTTTTGCTCTGTATCATGTTTAATCCCCGTCCATACTAACTCACCTGAAAACATATATCATGTGAACACCGGGCATGCTTGTGCCGATGTTAACATTAAGGTACGGGCGTGCAGTTGTAGTTGCAGTTGTATCATTGTAAAATACAGAATTAATGCACAGTAGCTGTTATCAATGACAACAGGTTCAGCGATGCTTGTAATTGATTATCCATGCTGCGCTTGACACTGGTAGCCGTGGCTGATGCCGGTTGTTTTCTTTCGGAAGGGGCTCGTGTGAAAGAAGCCTGAAGAATCAGTGGAGGCTAGTTCCTTGACCATAAAGACCCAATCAGCAAGCGGTTATCAGTTTCTTCTTCATAGTTATAAAACATCTCTTTTTCTGCCACTCAGACTAAAACCCTGCACCAGTATTTTCCAACTAAAACAGGACCAGCAGAGTTTCCAAACTCTGTTGTAATGTGGATGCCAGGTGTCATGAGAAAATGTAGTAGTATGGATGTAGCCTAAGTGTCAAGGCCAGCTGAAGTTTAGCTGTCCCTTTTCCTGTTCTAACATATTCCCTCTCTAGGTTCTGTATCTGTATTGTATATTGTATATTATATTCACGTTTCCCTTGACTGTTTTGATCTGATTCTGTTGCTTCCTTTTTTTCCCCATCTAGGCAGCATCTGCGCCTCAGATCAGCTTTGATGCGGAGGAAGGATCCCTGTGGACCCTTCTGCTCACATGTCCAGGTCAGGCTGGTTTAGATGATAACATCAGCTTCCATGGGAGGCACAGTTACACAAAATCATTTTTTACTGCCTTACTTGCCTCATTGATTATCAGCATTTACTGACTGTGATAAATGATCTATATACTTTTTCAGATGAGCATCTTCTGGATAATGAGGCAGAATATGTCCATTGGCTCGTGTAAGTATTTACTGACATGTTTTATTCACAAGGATTTGGGTCAACTTTCTTAAAAATAGGGCTTTTTTTTGGAAGCAACATTTCTGCATCCTCACCTATAGTTGTATTCCAACATGCCACTTCACAGATCTTTCAATGCCTGGGTTGGTCATGTGACCCTGGTCTTGTATGTCTGTTGCATTCACTGAATATAAAGATGGATGATGTGGATCCACTTCCTCCTGTTGCACGAAAATGAAGCCAAAATATCTTAGATATGGGTGCTGCCATCTTGTACTTTTTTTCCTCTCTTTTTATGAAATAATGAAAACAAGCAGAGAAACAAAATGACACATAGGGCATATGTACAGATAGCTGTAACATGAAGCAGTTACAATGATCATAAATGGTCTATATTTATAAAGTGCTTTTCTAGTCTTGATGACCACTTGAAGAGCAATGCAGTACTTTTTATTTTTTAACAATCACCCATACACACACACATTCATACAGTTCATCTATGGGCAGCACTTTTTCTATGATTGGCAATGTGGGGTTCTATGATAGATGTGGTGATATTTAAAAAGTTTGGGTTGCGTGTGAAGGGGGAACATACCGGGAGGAGCAGTGCAGGCTGGAGAGGAGCTGTGCCACTACCTGCCACCGTTCCCTGCCAGAGGAACAGGCTTCCACCGCTACATTTATGTCCTCTTCAAGCAGGAGGGGCCCATCAACTTCAGCGAGGACGTCAGGACGTCGCCGTGGTGAGTAGTACACTGAGAGGAAGATGTTGTCCTTTTGTGTGCATTGTTTGAAATAAGATAATCTGCGTATATTTGGTTCACTTTCATGTCTGTGTCCATTGAAGCATCACTATGAAACTGTTTTACCTTGATATAGCAGCTAAAACTAGTTTGATGGAATAGAGAGAAAGTTTCCTCTTTCATTCCCACTTCTCACCCTGAACGTCTGTTCTTGCTTTGTGTAACTTTGGTGAGTGGGTACGATCTCCTGTGGTTAGTGTGGAACTACTCATGGTCACAGCTTCAGTTGTCCGAATCAGGTCCTCAGATGAGGTTCAACCGACAGATTGGCTTTGGTTTCCTCGACATCAAAACCATTTAATCACTAACATGGAGCCCAACAGAATGAATCCCCACCTGTGGCTGCAGAGGGCTCTTGCTTTAAATATAGACAGCAGCTTCTTAGCTTAGCTCAACATTTATGTCCGCACAATTGGGTGGTAGGTTCATGGCTCGTCTTTTTCATCCGGAGACATTTGTAATGTTTTTTTCAGTTTTGCATGTTAGAAATGTCATCAACACACCCACTTGCTGGTGGTGACTCTCTGGACATTATCCTGGTATATTCTCTTATGGGCTCACTTGAAGATTCTCCAGAGTTTTTCTCAGGGGGCAGGAAAAAACAAACGGATCTGGATAAAGTCAGGAGATTATATGGAGTTAAGTGCATGTCTGAAAGCAGTTTAAGACAAGGAGTGTGGGGAATCCTCTAGCTTAGCTTTGTGGTAAGGTTAAGAATAAATAAATAAAGCTGCAGGGAGGAGGATTTTATTACCATGGAGAGGGGAGCTCTGTGAATTTAACAGACATTCTTTTGTGTGTGAGTTCATGTCTTGTATAGAAACAATACACTTAGTATGCATTGCCTCTCCTTGCCAGCTATTCTCTGGTGGATCGAACATTTAAGACGGTGGATTTCTACAGAAAGCATCAGGACAACATGACGCCTGCAGGCCTGGCGTTCTTCCAGGGCCAGTGGGATGAATCTGTCACCAACACCTTCCACAACACACTCAGTGAGTCATGCTAATGCACGTAGTCCCGTAGTCCATGGCAGATGTACGCTTCTTTGCTCTTCCCCAGGATTTGGAGTAAAAACTATTATACTATATATTGATAGTGACGTATTGTTCGCTCCCTGCAGACATGAAGGAGCCAGTGTTCGAGTTCATCCGGCCTCCAGTGTACCACCCTCCACAGGTCAAATACCCTCAGGGGCAACCTCTGCGCTACTTGGACCGATACAGGGATGGAAAGGAGTACACCTATGGAATATACTGATGATGACAACACATATGCAACCTATTTCCTTCCAAATGTGGAGTTATGTTCGGTATATTTATGTAAAATAATAATAATAAAGCATTTTTCAACTGTTGTGAGGTTCTAGGATTTTTCCCTGTGAAGAATATTGTGTTTTTGGTACTGTTTAATACAAATGAATATAGTGATAGTTGTCCTAGTGATGGCATGGTGGTGAGCAGTGTCGTCTTACAGAGAGAAGGTTCCCAGTTTGAATCCTGATTCTCTGTTTTTTCTCTAGTACGCGACCGTCCAAAGACATGCACTCTCTGACCGTGAGTGTGAATAGTTTTTTGTCTTTCTATGTTGGCTGTGTGACACACTGGTGACCTGACCCCGCCTCTAGCCCATTGTCAGCTGGGATTGGCTCCAGCCCCCCCCTTGACCCTCAGTGATGGATGGACATTTCCAGAAATTATAGAACATCATATGTGTTGCAGCACTCCTGGATAAAAGTATAATAAAACTGATACGTAGGGTTCTTGGGACTCATGCAACTGAAACTGTTGAATTATTGATCTGTGGTTGTGCTTTGGCCTCCAATCTTGATAGACTGCTGTAAGGTTTACAAACCACCAGATGTCACTAGTTGTTAAGTCTGAGAGGGATCTAAAAAACAACTGACCTCTGTTTTCACTAAGGCCATCATTTTTCAAACGCTGACACAGGAATAATAATGGGTCTTTTCCACATGGAGGGGACTGAGTGTGTGTCAAGAGACTTCTAGTAAATGGGGCACCAGGCTTCTGCCAGCTCTTCACTGCACAATTTCAATAAAATCCCAGAAATGCCGTCCACTCCAAGAGGCCTTCCTGGGGCAGATGTGTGGAAAAAAAGCAAGACATGCTGGTCAATAGTAATTTTAAAAGAATTTGATGCAGTTATAATGTCATGATTCAGAAATGTTCTATATTCACTATTCCTAGAGGATACAGGCTAATGACTTTAGTGACACTCAAATCAAAGATTCCTCTTAACCTGTGGAATATAGACACAGCCACTGCTGAACAGATTGGCGAAAATATGGAGTAAGATAGCTATCAACAAGATGTGTGCATGATTGAAATATTCATATTCGTAATGTTAAACATTTGTATGTCAATAAAATTGTTGTGCACAATATTCTGCTGTCATACACGTGAGTGTGAGACATTGTTCGGGTTAGGATTGTTTTTGTGTGAGTCTGAATCTAAAACCTGTGAGAGAAGAAAACTGCTCCAATGACGTCACGTAGGTCACAGGCAGGTCACAGGGAAAAGTAATCGAACCGCGATTTCTCCAAACGCGTATGCGCCAGAGCCAAAAATGGCCGACAGCAGTGGGCCGAGTGGAGCTGCTCGCTCAGGTGAAGCGTCACAGGTAAAGTGAACAACGTGTAGATTCAATATTTACTTCATAGAATTGTACTGTTTTAAATAATATACACTTCATGCACTCACAGACTTACTGCTTTAGCTTGCAAGATAGCAAGCTAGCGACGTGCCGGTGACGCTAAGTTAGTGCTAGCATTACTAGCATGAGAAGTTGGCTTGAGCTAGTTAATTAGCACTGACCTGCAAATTATGAAATAATTAATTTGACACATAACGATGATCGAAATACAACTTGTGTGGATTTATGAATGGTGTCATTCGGCGTATAAATCTATCCATCGTATAAGTCCGGTCTCTTTTCTCCTTTGCTAATCCTCCTCTCACTGCGGTCAAGTGAGCAGACGTTCGGCTTTTCCTGATTTCAAGTGCGCCCTTATTACAGAATGTATGGCAAATGCAGGTAGTCCATGATACGGAGCGAGCCAATGTTTTATGCTACTGTAAAATCCCTTTATTCCATAATTTCTGACAAAGGTTGTCAAAAGTTGTTTTCAGGACCATCCTGACTGTTCACTCACTCAGTATCAAGCATATTTACTGTAGCATTTTGGAGCAATTCAGCCTCAAAGTTCTTTATTTTGCATTGAAAAAGGCATTATGCTCTTTATTTACTCTACTGTAAAATCCCTTTGATCCATAATTTCTGACAAAGGTTTGTACATTTGATCTCAGGACCATCCTGACTGTTCACTCACTCAGTATCAAGCATATTTACTGTAGCATTTTGGAGAAATTCAGGGTCAAAGTTCATTTTTTACAACAGAGGGAAATCAATCAGTGGATGATGGATTATCATACACACATCATGACGTGTATATTTGAGTAGTCTTATCTGTCATAAACAAGAGATTACGGGTTACGGGGCACGTTTGTGTCGCAGAGACGAGAGCTGGGACACCGGGTCAGAGTCTCCATTCTCCATGTAACAAGTTACAAGTGGTTTATTTAAGCAGCACTATTACTCTGAAACTGTTTGAATCAAGGTCAAAATGAACCATAAGGCAAATATCCCGTCCTCCTCTGATCAGAGCACCATCCCTTGAAAATGCAGCGATTGGCAACATTCAATAGAGCCCCATAATAATTAAGAGTTATTGTTTTAACTTGCAAGCTAATGATTGGCATATTAATTTAGCTAAAAATACAAAAGTATTTTGAGTGTCTGTCCAGCCTTTGTGGAATTGATAGAGTACTGTATGTTGGTAAACGACTAAGTTAACTGTGGCATATTATGCATCAAACTTTTTTTTTTTGTTTGTTTACAGGGACCAGTGGCTACTCAGGAACGTCTGAAATCAAGTGTTACAGACCTGTTAAATCAACCACACCTGAATTTGGACTATTTACAGTACATTGTAGATCAAGAAGCATTTATTCTGACAGCTGCCTCCAGTACTTTAAACATGCCAGCTGAAATTGTGGACTGTCTTTTATCCCTGCAAAGTAAGATCCATGCAGCTGTTTCCCAAGAGAGTCCCTGTGCTTTTATTAGAGCTGGAGGACGAGGACGACCAAAGTTCATTTTTCTGAGGAGCTTCTGTCCCAGCTCATCGACGTCCCCTTACCAGTGTTTTGCATCGCAAATCTGTTGGGTGTCAGCCAAAGCACATTCTTCCGGCGTATGCGTGAACCTGGGTTGTCCACAAGGTCTACATAAAGCAGCTTAACTGATAGTGAACTGGATGATGCTGTGCTGTCCATCAAACGCAGGATATAGAATGGTTAAAGGCTGTCTGCAAGCAGATGTTCAGATGGAGTTCAGTGGGACCGCATCAAGGAGTCCATGCACAGTCGATGCTCCAGGAGTTTTGGAAAGGATGACACGGCTGGGGTGCACAGTAAGGAGGACATACTCTGTGCAGGGGCCTTTGTCATTAGTCCATGTGGACACAAACCATAAGCTTATACGGTAAGACTTTTTATTTACTATTTATTTTTGTATTTATTTATTGGGGGGGGGGGGTGACTGCTCATTGTCATTTCATATTTTGTCTTCAAGGTACAACATTGTCATATTTGGTGCAATAGATGGGTACTCGAGAAAGGTTGGTGTTCTTTTATTACAGTGGTACACGGTTCACACATATTATTTTTATTTTCACACACATAAATAACATTGAATTTTCAAAACTTTTCATAATGTTTAGCATATTTTACTCAATCACTTTAAAGGAGGAGAAGAGCAGGGAAGAAACATTTTAAAACATTGTATATTCAGAACTTTACTAAACAGATGGAATTACTATTTATTTTATGCTTATGGTTCCTGACTTTTATCTATTGCTGTTCCTGCTTTTACTGCTGTTGCTATAACTCCTGAGTTTCCCCCTGGGGATCAATGAAGATTATTCATCTTATGTGTTGTAGGCCTTAATATTTTGCTTATGCAGATTCAAACACTGTCTTTCTAAACAGATTTTCTATCTGGAGCTGCTCAAACACTGCTCATTCAGTGGAAAACTATGGCTGGCCTTCCAGGTAAACAATGATAAACTTGTGCTATTGTTTCCATGCCCTAATTACTAATTTCAGTAATATTTGATGGAACATTTTGTTGTGATGAATATGGCTGAACATTTCTCACATGTATTTTCAATACATGTCTTCCTTCCAGGTCTGGCAGAGTCCCTTCACACTTTCACAGAAGGCTGGCACAACCATCCCAAACCAGCTCTGGGTTTTGGGTCACATGGAGAACCATTGTGACCCGAACAAAGATTTGCAGGTATGTTGAAGCTCAAACTCAAGGTGCTGTTTACAAAGGCAAAGTGCAGTTGACAAGTTTTGAACCTGAATATGTGGAGGCTTAGGTTTATACAAAAACAATCTAATTTGTTATTGCTATTTGAATGGGGTCAATATCTTTAACAGTGTGGAAGGAGTAGAAGGTTAAAATTCAGGAGCAAGTTGTTGAAAAAATGATATACAATTAAGTGTGTGCGATACTTTATTGAAGTGATCACACAAATAGAACAAGTCAGCAAAGCAAAATGTATGATAGATGTACTCCATGTTCTGATTGCTTGAACATTATACACATTTTATTCTCTGGTAAAATGTTTTCTGTTGTCAGTGCACTATGCCTGTGTAGGTCAGTCTGTGCTTTGGTATGTTTTTAAAATATTTCTAAATTATTAGCCTTAAAACTTAATTGCCTGAGTCATATTTTGGCTAAATTGTGACATCTACCTAGTTCCCCTAACACTGCTGAGTCACTGTGCATTATTGTGCTAAAAACCTTAAAATATGACTCAGGCGGTTATTCAGATTTAAGACAAAGTCCTTGTTTTCGCTTGGCAGAACAGGCTTGTTGTCCAGTCATCCACTGCATGATGCTTCCTGCAGTCAAGCCTTCTGGAGTAACGTTGTTGCTTGGGCCCTCTTGTTCTTAATTAAGAGATAAACACAATGTTAGTCTGAATTGAAACCAATACATTTTAGTTTTCAAGTTGATAAAATCCATTACATAAACACAAATCATATTGACCTTTTTGAGTATAAGAACATTTTATTAATGAGATTTTAACAAAAGCTGCATGTGTTATGACTGGATGACAGGCATTGTGTTGTGGCAATTGTTCAGACACCTCCAGTTACTGTTAATATAACTATGCAAGTCATCCATCTGTAAGCCATCCATGTCGAGTTTAATGAAACCGTTATCCTAGAGGTCACAATATTACATTTAATCGATTACATTCATTTTAAATAGTGATATCAAGTTTCCAAAAACGCCTAGATTTAATGGGTCGTATAGTTTGAATCAATTAACTACTTTACACTGCACTATATAAAATGTACTGCAGGATAGCAGAAAACGTTAATCTCTTTATTACTCTATCTTGGCTAATACATACCAGAATCCTCTATTTCCTGAAGAAAGTTCATCATGTTTACTTCCTTTTGGTGCTTGGCAGAATCAATCTCACTGACGATAGGGCGGCTCCTCTCCAGAAGGAAGGCTGCATCCGCCTTTAAGAAGAAGGATGTGCATTTCAGTCTGCATAAACATTGTAATTCTTGCAAAAGACATTCATGCTCAATTAAAAGCAGTCTAAAACATAAGAATATACCTCGTCATCTTGCCCTGGAAAAAACAGTGGTAGGCAGAGGTCTTGATGAGTCTTCATGATTTTTGGTAGGTCATACAGCTGCAGGCCTTTTCTGAGCTGGTCGAGCATTGGGATGACTCTCATGGTGGAGTGAAGTACGACAGTTCTAATGGACAAAATGTAGCATCAGGAGAATATACTTTAGTGGTAAACCTGTTGGATGTAGAGGGGAAAAAAGCCAAAACTACTTAATTTTAAAAATGTTATCATTATTTGGTGACATGTAAAGAAGTTTAACAACACAGCTTTGCATGAAACCAATGCCATGTTACTTGTAATCCATGTTTTAGACATGACCAACAAGTAGCCTAACTCATCACAAATCCTTGTACAATACATCCTTTGCCTTAATGAAAACCGAAAATGTCACCAACATACCTAATCACGCTGTCTTTTTTTTTTTCCAGAGACACGATTCCAGTGTATCCGCAGGTCACAATATCGTCAACCAGGTCACTGATGTTGTCATTACCGCCGCTGTTTATCTGAAAACAGAGTAGGTGTCAAGTGAAATTAAGTTGCATTGTATCATTGTTCTCTAAAGGCAACAAAACAAAAAAGAAATTGTGTAAGCCATATACAGCTACATACTTATATTGGAAATACTCTGCATACTGTGAACACTATACTTACTCAGCTGTACTGCTCTTCCTTTTTTTCATTTTTTATCTTCAAAAACATACTGTGTATATATTTTTATATTTATATTGTTAAATATTAATACTTGATTTTATTTTAATCTTGTTATATTTAGAGATATCTGACATGCACCAACAGCATCAAAACAAATTCCATGTATGCGTAAACTTACTTGGCAATAAAAGCTTTTCTGATTCTGAAAATGAGGCTAATGCAATTACTAACTTTGATAAAATTGTATTTACCAATATCAATAAGCTGTGACAGTTCGAAATCTGTTACATCACTGGCAGACACTCGTATGCTGTGTCACCGGAGCAGAGATATCTGAAGCACCACTCGTGCATTAAGTTAGGACAAGGCCCGCCTTGTGCCAGGCTAGCTGCCATGACCTCTCCTGCACTCCTAACCAAAACAAAACAGCATAAACTGCCTGAATACACTACGCACCTGGAGTAGTTAAGAGTCCAAACTGTTGAGACAATAAACAGGATTCTTCCCTTTCTTATCTGACCCTCCAACAAAGAGTCTGTTTTCGATCTCTGCCAGCATTTCTGCAAAACAGCAAATACAGGAGATTCAAAAGGTCTCTTCTGTCTCTCTTTTCCCCCCCATTTAACTAGCATTTGAGCCCACTATGCCACCAGAGGCCCCCTGTTGATGTTGACAGTGTGTCAAGTGTGTCTGATTTGACAAATATGGACAAAAAGGAAGGAGAAGAAATCCACACATCAGTCCAATAAAAATTCTTGAAACTATATCCAGTGTGTGGATAATTCCTTTCCTTTTTGTTCTTGATTATCTTTAATCCTGCATCTGGCCTTGTAAGAATTTGATGCGCACAAATTTTCTCTTATCGTGAAATTAAATATAGACAAACATTTGTACCTGTGAGGAATTCTCTGCAAAGGGCCCCAGCATCGATGCCTGCCTCTACATTTGGGCGATGTCTTCTTCTGCCGTTGCCACTGCTGCATGCCTCTGCTGCTGCATGCCTCTGCTGAAGAGCTCAGTCCGCGACACAGATGGAAAATGGGTTTGTTTCATTAACTTGACAAGTGATCCAATCCAAGATTTCCTCAGAGCTGGAATTAAAAACAAAAGACAAAAAAATGAACATTAAAATAGACAGCAACATGTCTTTTCTGAATGCTTTATTTACTTATTTATTTCTTGTTCAACACTGAGCATTTGAATAAAAAACTAGACCTGGTTGTACTGTCTGTATAATTTCATAGCTGTTTGCTACAATTATTCTGGGTGGTTGTTAGGGGTGTGGCATGGTACAACAATTGCCACGCCTCCTATACTAGTGAAATTCTAATGGGTGAGAGCAAAAGATCTCACAAACATACTGTGTTTTTGGATTACCACATTTCTCTGTGATCACACTCCACACATATAAACTTTTCAACAGGAACAAGATGATTGATACTGCAGTATCTCTTTAAAGTGTATATTATCCAGATGACATAATTTGCCACCATAATTACCTAATATACAATATTACCCTTGAAAGGTACTGATTTGACTGACTGGTACTGATCCACTTGACTCATGGCCGTTATTATCTGAAGGTGCACACGTAAAGAAAACAGCTCGTCCTAAATTATCTTGACATAAACACTTGCATACATATAACATTTTGCAAGGCAATCTCCTTATATGTTATTTGTCAAATGAACGTAGGTATACATTAAAAAAGTTACACTAAAATCATTAATATTGCCGTAATCTGCATGTGGCTGCATGGATCTCAATTATGTCAACTTGAAATGCATTGTTGCACACAGGACACTCTGCTGTCTTAAAAAATAATTCACAAGGCATGTGAATAAAATTTTATATTATTCCAAAGATTAATATCTGAACTTACCAGGAAGGCACAAACATTTCACCTTGTCTGTCTGGCTGCAAATGGAATCTGGGAATTCATCTTCATGTTCTTCGTTGCAGCTTTGCTGCGGGAGAAAAACAATAATGATACGTAAGTGTTTAGAGTATAATACAGAATAACATCTCATTTTTCAATATAAACAGCTGTGAAATAAAGACTAAAAGTTTGACATACCTCTTCAGCAGAAGTCTACAAGTTCTGTCTTGCATTCCTTGATGTGTACTGGAAGAATCTGAAGTGGAACCATTTTCTTGCAGGTTGTACACTGGGCTTTGGGCATGTTCTCACACTCCTTTGCTTCGGTGGTTATGGAATTGTATCAAGTTCTTCTTGTAAAGGAGAAATGTACAATGAGTATTTTCCATTCCCGCTCACTGCTTTTAGCTGCTGGCCAGTGTATCCATATAGATCTGGAGGGATTACAACCAAGCTCCGCCGCCCACCGCCACCTAAAATTGAAAAATTATAGATACTAAACAAACCTGAATATACACTAACTACTCATATAGAGTATTTTGAAACATCATTAATCCAGTGTATACGCCTACATACCTGTGGACTTGTGCAGCATCCAGCCATCACTGATGTTTGCCAATCTTGGATATGCACTCACAAGCAACTCTGAAAACTTAAGAGACAAAAGCATAGTTAAAGCTTCATGCAAATATTAATACAATCATGCATCAAGATGAATTCTAAGATGGGTGTTTTTCTCTTGAGACATGACTTGACACAAGGCAGCAAATGAATGGTAGCATACCTCTGAATGTGTCATATTTTCAGATATGGTTAGTGAATGTTTTCCAAGGCCAGCCAGCATGAGGGGCAGTTCCTCAGAAGCTTCTGTACATTTGTTGAATTTGTTTTATGCAATAGTTTACATGGGGATGGTCTGAAGCTCCTGAAAATATTCTAAGGTAGATAATAGAATTTAAAACATCTGCAGATGTTTCTCTGCCTTCAGCTTAAATCAGAATCATGGACTTAGTTTGTCCAAATGTGCCTGCACTGGGAGCGCAACACATGACCCATGAAGCCTACCGCCCCATTTCTTGTTTCACTGACAGTCCAGGGCCATTGTTCTGAGATCTTATAAGTTGTTGCACTGCCCGCTGAGGCCTCACTGCTGGAACTGACTGCCCTCCCTGTCCGACAGCAGCTTCTCCTGTATTTTCCTGTCTCACTGGCCTGATATTCAAAATATTAAATAATTCACTCCTGTTCCTTAACATCAACACCAGATTTTGTGCTGTGTTGATGATGTCTCTTAATTGGACCTGAGTGAGAAAAAAGACAAAATTGAATAGCAAATATTACAGACATGGGTATTTTTCACGCTTGTACAGAATGCCTGCAAACTAACTTCTTCTTAAAGTCTGAGCTTGGGTCAGCATCAACACCAAACTGCACGCCAGTCTGAACCCATGCAAACCACACTTATGTGCCTGATCTCAAGCAACTGACTGTAAACTAATAATAATAATAATTATTATTCTAGGGCTCCATTGAATGTTGCCAATCGCTGCATTTTCAAGGGATGTTGCTCTGATCAGAGGAGGACGGGATATTTGCCTTATGGTTCATTCTGACCTTGATTCAAAATGTTTCAGAGTAATAGTGCTGCTTAAATAAACCACTTGTAACTTGTTACATGGAGAATGGAGACTCCGACCCGGTGTCCCAGCTCTCGTCTCTGCGACACCGCGACACAAACGTGCCCCGTAACCTTTTGTTTATGACAGATAAGACTACACAAACATACACGTCATAATGTGTGTATGATAATCCATCATCCACTGATTGATTTCCCTCCGTTGAAAACAAATGCACATGGCCCGGAGGAGGATTAGCAAAGGAGAAAAGAGACCGGACTTATACGATGGATAGATTTATACGCCGAATGACACCATTTATAAATCCACACAAGTTGTATTTCGATCAACATTATGTGTCAAATTAATTATTTCACAATTTGCAGGTCAGTGCTAATTTACTAGCTCAAGCCAACTTCTCATGCTAGTAATGCTAGCACTAACTTAGCGTCACCGGCACGTCGTTAGCTTGCTAGCTTGCAAGCTAAAGCAGTAAGTCTGTGAGTGCATGAAGTGTATATTATTTAAAACAGTACAATTCTATGAAGTAAATATTGAATCTACACGTTGTTCACTTTACCTGTGACGCTTCATCTGAGCGAGCAGCTCCACCCGGTCCACCGCTGTCGGCCATCTTTGGCTTTGGCGCATGCGCGTTTGGAGGAATCGCGGTTCGATTACTTCTCCCTGTGACCTGCCTGTGACCTACGTGACGTCATTGGAGCAGGTTTTAGATTCAGACTCACACAAAAACAATCCTAACCCGAACAATGTCTCACACTCACGTGCATGACAGCAGAATATTGTGCACAACAATTTTATTGACATACAAATGTTTAACATTACGAAGATATAAAACTTTTATTTTACAGGATAAACACTAAAGAAAATAATTATGAATACATTTTGTGTAAACAAACACAATCACAATTTACTCTCTATTTATTTGGCAGTGTTTTCCTTCTATTCCTAGTTGGTAAGATATCAAGCCACATCTACATTTCTTTGTTTGTATAATGTCATAAAATGATTTTTTTTTTGCCAAAGGTTTTCCCTCTGCCAAGGCAATGTTTTTGTTTGCTTTGTTTGTCTGTTATTTAGCAGGATGAAGCAAAAACTACCATGAACCTTGGTGGAATGAAGCAGTGCAGGACAGAAAATAACCTGTTCAATTTTGATGTGAATCCAGGAATTTTGTTTCATTGTCTTTTTCACATTTTGCAGTGATGTCTTGTTTAACATTTTCAAGAATTTCCCAGGGAATAATCCATGGATCGCGATGGAAAACAACTGGCACGTATAGGGGACTGATATCTATGAGTTAGTGTAATTTGTTGCAGCTTTTTTTAATTTACAGGGAATGTGGGTCCACGGTGGAGTAATGCGCTCTAGCCATTCTAGTTTGTAATTAAAATTAATGATCAAACTATGTAAAATATTAACCCTCAATTATTTGTCATAAGGGTTTGTACCTCTTAGGAATCATTAAAAATGTTTTAAATATATATCGGCCGATATATTGGCATCAGAAATGTTTTACTCCCTGATATAGGTATCGGTATCAGCCCCCCAAAATCCATATTTGTTCTGCTGTAATTTAAGTGTCTGTTTTTGCTTAGAGGCAGAGGTTGACAGTGAAAAATTATTTCACAGAGAAGGTGAGGTGCTTTGAGTCTTTGCAATTCCTTGTACAGATGATCACTTTTAAGGGTATTTATAGATCGATCCAAAGTTTTACCATTGATAAAAACTGGATGAAAAACTGTGGTTTAACACAAACATTTTTTTCTTTTCCATCGACCATCACAGGTAAAGACTCTCATAAAAATACTGTGAGTGGTCTGTATTTACATAGTCTTGATGACCACTTAAAGTTCTTTATAGTATAGTGGTGCTCAACATGTACTATGATATAAATAAACAAATACTACATTTGTAGAACTTTACACACTGACTGATTGTGCCCCATGCTTGGGACAGGAAGTGCTGAATCTCTTGGAGGAGAGACTGAGCAGAGGGAGGGAGAGAAAGACAATTAGCTGGGAGTGGGAACAGCTGACTCCTGCACGATGTCTTAAAAAGCTCGTGAGACGCAGGACACACTTCTCTTCCTGACTGAAATGATGGGAGCTGTTGAGGCCTTGCTTATTTGTGTGCTGACTTCCTGGCTTACCAATGGTTTGTTATGTCCCTTTTGTTAGAGGCTTAAAACATTAGAACTGGAGTATAGCAAATGTAAAATTTAAGGTTCAATTATTTCAGTCTTATTTAAGTCTTTTGATTAGTGGCTTGTATTCCTGAAATGTCAATCAGCTAAAAAAAAATTTACAACTCGTGTATTTTCTCTGCACAGGCCTTTGTTTGCCATATGGCAGCAAAAATGAAATTGAAGGTAATGTACTGAACAGAAAGATGGGCGGTAAGGAAAGAAAATTACAAATGATCTTTTCTTTTGAGCTACTCTCTGACACTCGTTTCATTTCTTCTGGTTTAGAGTTGTTTCCCGATGACTTTGCCTTAAAGAAAGCCCTGGGACTCATCCATTCAGTGGAGAGTGTGTTGAAGGAACATGTTAAAGAAGGTGAGCAGCTTCTCTGAAACACTACAATGAGCAAAATGTTTGTGGTTGAGCCTCATCGTGTGAATTAATCATGATGGGCCTTTACTGGACTGCAGGTCAGATTAACTGCACGACAAAGTGACAAGGTAGTTAAAATCGCAATTTTCTGCTTTAAATGCCAATCTAATCCGATGTCTTTCTTCAAGTTCTCCTGGAAACCAACGAAGTGGAAGCTGAGGTATTGGTCGGACTGAAACCTGAGGAGAATCGGTGCCCCCCTTGCGCAGTAGGGGTCGACGTGACGCTGGACGGGGCAGTGCCAGGCAACGTGACGCTGGACGGCTCGGCAAGGGGCAACGTGACGCTGGACGGCTCGGCAGGGGGCAACGTGACGCTGGACGGCTCGGCAGGGGGCAACGTGACGCTGGACGGCTCGGCAGGGGGC